GTCCTGGTTCAGTCCTGGTTCAGTCCTGGTTTAGTCCTGGTTTAGTCCTGGTTCCTGGTTTAGTCCTGGTTCAGTCCTGGTTTAGTCCTGGTTTTAGTCCTGGTTTAGTCTGGTTTAGTCCTGGTTTTAGTCTGGTTTAGTCCTGGTTTTTAGTCCTGGTTTTAAGTCCTGGTTTAGTCCTGGTTCAGTCCTGTTTTAAGTCCTGTTTTAGTCCTGGTTTAGTCCTGTTTTTGGTCTGGTTTAGTCCTGTTTTAGTCCTGGTTAGTCAGTCCTGTCCTGGTTTAGTCTGGTTTAGTCCTGGTTTTTAGTCTGGTTCAGTCCTGGTTTAAGTCCTGGTTTTAGTCCTGGTTTAGTCCTGGTTTAGTCCTGTTTGTCCTGGTTCAGTCCTGGTTTTAGTCTGTTTTAGTCCTGGTTTAGTCCCTGGTTCAGTCCTGGTTTAGTCCTGTTTTAGTCCTGTTTAGTCCTGGTTAGTCCTGGTTTAGTCCTGTTTTAGTCTAGTCCTGGTTTAGTCCTGGTTCAGTCCTGGTTAGTCCTGGTTCAGTCCTGGTTTAGTCCTGGTTTAGTCCTGGTTTAGTTCCTGGTTTAGTCCTGGTTCAGTCCTGGTTCAGTCCTGGTTCTAGTCTGGTTTAGTCCTGGTTTAGTCCTGGTTCAGTCCTGGTTTAGTCCTGGTCTAGTCCTGGTCTAGTCCTGGTTTAGTCCTGGTTCAGTCCTGGTTTAGTCCTGGTCCCTGGTCCTAGTCCTGGTCTAGTCCTAGTCCTGGTTTAGTCCTGGTTCAGTCCTGGTCTCAGTCCTGGTCTAGTCCCTGGTCTAGTCCTGGTCCTGGTCCTGGTTAGTCCTGGTTTAGTCTGGTTTAGTCCTGGTTCAGTCCTGGTTCAGTCTGGTTTAGTCCTGGTTTAGTCCTGGTTTAGTCCTGGTTTATCCTGGTTTAGTCCTGGTTTCAGTCCTGGTTCAGTCCTGGTTAGTCCTGGTTTAGTCCTGGTCTAGTCCTGGTTAGTCCTGGTTTAGTCCTGGTTCAGTCCTGGTTTAGTCCTGGTTTAGTCCTGGTTTCAGTCCTGGTCTAGTCCTGGTTAGTCCTGGTTTTAGTCCTGGTTTAGTCCTGGTTTAGTCCTGGTTTGGTTAGTCCTGGTTTAGTCCTGGTCTAGTCCTGGTCTAGTCCTGGTTTAGTCCTGGTCTAGTCCTGGTTTAGTCCTGGTTTAGTCCTGGTTCAGGTCCTGGTTTAGTCCTGGTTCAGTCCTGGTCTAGTCCTGGTTTTAGTCCTGGTCTAGTCCTGGTTTAGTCCTGGTCCTGGTTAGTCCTGGTCTAGTCCTGGTCTAGTCCTGTTTTAAGTCCTGGTCTAGTCCTGGTTCAGTCCTGGTCTAGTCCTGGTCTTAGTCCTGGTTTAGTCTAGTCCTGGTCAGTCCTGGTTCAGTCCTGGTTTAGTCCTGGTCTAGTCCTAGTCCTGGTTCAGTCCTGGTTCAGTCCTGGTTTAGTCCTGGTTCCTGGTTAGTCCTGGTTTAGTCCTGGTTCAGTCCTGGTTTAGTCCTGGTTTAGTCCTGGTCTAGTCCTGTTTAGTCCTGGTTTTAGTCCTGGTTTAGTCCTGGTTCAGTCCTGGTTCAGTCCTGGTTCAGTCCTGGTTCAGTCCTGGTTTAGTCCTGGTCTAATCCTGGTTCAGTCCTGGTTCCAGTCCTGGTTTAGTCCTGGTTCAGTCCTGGTTCAGTCAGTCCTGGTCTAGTCCTGGTTCAGTCCTTGTTTAGTCCTGGTCGAGTCCTGGTCTAGTCCTGGTCGAGTCCTGGTCTAGTCCTGGGTCTAGTCCTGGTCTAGTCCTGTCTTTAGTCCTGGTTTAGTCCTGGTTTAGTCCTGGTTCAGTCCTGGTCTAGTCCTGGTTAGTCCTGGTTCAGTCCTGGTTCAGTCCTGGTCTAGTCCTGGTCTAGTCCTGGTTCAGTCCTGGTTTAGTCCTGTTTCAGTCCTGGTTTCCTGGTCCTGGTTCAGTCCTGGTTCAGTCCTGGTCTAGTCCTGGTTTCTAGTCCTGGTCCTAGTCCTGGTCTAGTCCTGGTCCTAGTCCTGGTTCAGTCCTGGTCTAGTCCTGGTCTAGTCCTGGTCTAGTCCTAGTCCTGGTCTAGTCCTGGTCTAGTCCTGGTTTAGTCCTGGTTTTAGTCCTGGTCTAGTCCTGGTTGGTCAGTCCTGGTTCAGTCCTGGTCTAGTCCTGGTCTAGTCCTGGTCTAGTCCTAGTCCTGGTTCCTGGTTAGTCCTGGTTTAGTCCCTGGTAGTCCTGGTTCAGTCCTGGTCTAGTCCTGGTCTAGTCCTGGTCTAGTCCTGGTTTAGTCCTGGTCTAGTCCTGGTCTAGTCCTGGTCTAGTCCTGGTCTAGTCCTGGTCTAGTCCTGGTCTAGTACCCTGGGCGGGTCTTGTTGAAGGGCCGTCAGGTAACTCTCCAGGGCGAGTCTCCTCCTGTCGTTGAGCAGAGCCTCGACTCGAGCCATGTGAGTCTCCACCAGCTGCTGCCTCTCGCTCGCCGCCTCCTGCTCCAGAGCCTCCACCTTCTCCTGGAAACGCTGGAACACACACAAGGACAGGGACAGAGTTTAGACCTGGTTTAGACCTGGTTTAGACCTGGTTTAGTCCTGGTTTAGTTCTGGTTTAGTCTTGGTTTATTATTCTATTGCCTCCTGCTCCAGAACTTCTCAGACTTCTCCTGGAAACGCGGAGAACACAAAAAATACAAAAGGACAGAGGAGTGAGGAAGGTTCTGGGTTTAGTCCTGGTTTAGTCCTGGTTTAGTCCTGGTTTAGTCCTTGTTGGGTACTACTTTAGACTTGGTTTGAGGCTTGGTGTAGACCTTGTTTTATATTGATTTAGTCCTGGTATAGTCCCCAGTTTAGTTTAGATTCTTCGTTAAGACCTTGTCCCGTTTAGGCCGGTTTTGTATTTTAGTCCAAGGTTAGGCCCACTTTGGTCCAGGTTTAGTCCTGGTTTAGTCCTGGTATAGTACTGGTTTAATTTAGAGTCTTTGTTTAGACTTTGTCCTGTTTAGACCAGTGTTGAATTTTAGTCATAGGTTAGACCACTTGGTCACTTTGGTTTTGTTCTGGTTAGTCTGAATTTAGTCTCTGGTTTAGTCTGATTTAGTTCTGGTTTGTCTCTGGTTTAGTACTGGTTTAGTCTTTGGTTTAGTCTCTGGTTTAGTCCTGGTTTAGTCTTTGGTTAAGTATCTGGTTTAGTCTGGTTTAGTCTTGGTTTAGTCTCTGGTTTAGTCTCTGGTTTAGTCTCTGGTTTAGTCCTCTGGTTTAGTCTCTGGTTTAGTCCTGGTTTAGTCTCTGGTTTAGTCTCTGGTTTAGTCTCTGGTTTAGTCTCTGGTTTAGTCCTGGTTTAGTCTCTGGTTTAGTCCTGGTTTAGTCTCTGGTTTAGTCTCTGGTTTAGTCTCTGGTTTAGTCTCTGGTTTAGTCTGGTTTAGTCTGGTTTAGTCCTGGTTTAGTCTCTGGTTTAGTATCTGGTTTAGTCTCTGGTTTAGTCCTGGTTTAGTCTCTGGTTTAGTCTCTGGTTTAGTCTCTGGTTTAGTCCTGGTTTAGTCTTGGTTTAGTCTCTGGTTTAGTCCTCTGGTTTAGTCTGGTTTAGTCTCTGGTTTAGTCCTGGTTTAGTAGTCCTGGTTTAGTCTCTGGTTTAGTCTTTGGTTTAGTCTCTGGTTTAGTCCTGGTTTAGTCTCTGTTTTTAGTCTGGTTTAGTCTTTGGTTAGTCTCTGGTTTAGTCTCTGGTTTAGTCTCTGTTTAGTCTCTGGTTTAGTCTGGTTTAGTCTGGTTTAGTCTCTGGTTTAGTCTCTGGTTTAGTCCTGGTTTAGTCTCTGGTTTAGTCTCTGGTTTAGTCTCTGGTTTAGTCTCTGGTTTAGTCTCTGGTTTAGGTTTAGTCTCTGGTTTAGTCTCTGGTTTAGTCTTTGGTTTAGTCTCTGGTTTAGTCCTGGTTTAGTCTCTGGTTTAGTCTCTGGTTTAGTCTCTGGTTTAGTCTTTGGTTTAGTCTTTGGTTTAGTCTCTGGTTTAGTCTCTGGTTTAGTCTTTGGTCTTTGGTTTAGTCTCTGGTTTAGTCTCTGGTTTAGTCTCTGGTTTAGTCTCTGGTTTAGTCTCTGGTTTAGTCTTTGGTTTAGTCTCTGGTTTAGTCTCTGGTTTAGTCCTGGTTTAGTCTCTGGTTTAGTCTCTGGTTTAGTCTTTGGTTTAGTCTCTGGTTTAGTCTCTGGTTTAGTCTCTGGTTTAGTCTCTGGTTTAGTCTTTGGTTTAGTCTCTGGTTTAGTCTCTGGTTTAGTCTCTGGTTTAGTCTGGTTTAGTCTCTGGTTTAGTACTGTTTAGTCTCTGGTTTAGTCCTGGTTTAGTCTTTGGTTTAGTCTCTGGTTTAGTCTCTGGTTTAGTCTTTGGTTTAGTATCTGGTTTAGTCCTGGTTTAGTCTCTGGTTTGGTCTCTGGTTTAGTCCTGGTTTAGTCTCTGGTTTAGTCTCTGGTTTAGTCTGGTTTAGTCTCTGGTTTAGTCCTGGTTTAGTCTCTGGTTTAGTCTCTGGTTTAGTCTCTGGTTTAGTCTGGTTTAGTCTCTGGTTTAGTCTCTGGTTTAGTCTCTGGTTTAGTCTCTGGTTTAGTCTCTGGTTTAGTCTTGGTTTAGTCCTGGTTTAGTCTCTGGTTTAGTATTCTGGTTTAGTCCTGGTTTTAGTCTCTGGTTTAGTCCTGGTTTAGTCCTCTGGTTTAGTCTCTGTTAGTCCTGGTTTAGTCTTTGGTTTAGTCTCTGGTTTAGTCTCTGGTTTAGTCTCTGGTTTAGTCCTGGTTTAGTCTCTGGTTTAGTCTCTGGTTTAGTCTCTGGTTTAGTCTCTGGTTTAGTCTCTGGTTTAGTCCTGGTTTAGTCTCTGGTTTAGTCTCTGGTTTAGTCTCTGGTTTAGTCTCTGTTTAGTTTAGTCTTTGGTTTAGTCTCTGGTTTAGTCCTGGTTTAGTCTTTGGTTTAGTCTCTGGTTTAGTCCTGGTTTAGTCTCTGGTTTAGTCTCTGGTTTAGTCCTGGTTTAGTCTCTGGTTTAGTCTCTGGTTTTGGTTTAGTCTCTGGTTTAGTCTCTGGTTTAGTCTTTGGTTTAGTCTCTGGTTTAGTCCTGGTTTAGTCTCTGGTTTAGTCTCTGGTTTAGTCCTGGTTTAGTCTCTGGTTTAGTCCTGGTTTAGTCCTGGTTTAGTCTCTGGTTTAGTCTTTGGTTTAGTCTGGTTTAGTCTTGGTTTAGTCCTCTGGTTTAGTCTCTGGTTTAGTCTTTGGTTTAGTCTCTGGTTTAGTCTTTGGTTTAGTCTCTGGTTTAGTCTGGTTTAGTCTCTGGTTTAGTACTGGTTTAGTCTCTGGTTTAGTCCTGGTTTAGTCTTTGGTTTAGTCTCTGGTTTAGTCTCTCTGGTTTAGTCTGGTTTAGTCCTGGTTTAGTCTCTGTTTATGGTTTAGTCTGGTTTAGTCTGGTTTAGTATCTGGTTTAGTCTCTGGTTTAGTCTCTGGTTTGGTCTCTGGTTTAGTCCTGGTTTAGTCTGGTTTAGTCTCTGGTTTAGTCTCTGTTTAGTCCTGTTTTAGTCTCTGGTTTAGTCATCTGGTTTAGTCCTGGTTTAGTATCTGGTTTGTCTCTGGTTTAGTCTCTGGTTTAGTCCTGGTTTGGTTTGTCTCTGGTTTAGTCCTGGTTTAGTCCTGGTTTAGTCCTGGTTTAGTCTCTGGTTTAGTCCTGGTTTAGTCCTGGTTTAGTCCCTCACCTGGATCACAGCTTTCTTATCGGCGCGTGGCAGGTTCTTGGCGTCTCTCTCGGCCTCCTCCCACTCCCTCATCACCTGTGAGCGGAAAACAAAAGACCTGGACTTGTGTTTTGTTTCTTTATTATTAGTTCGTCTACGTCTCCAAAGCTCCAAACGCTCTGTTCCACCTTGTGATGTCACGCCGCGTTCGTTTTTCACCGTCCTTTTCGTTACCTGGGACATCCTCTCGCGGTGTTTGGCCTCCAGACTCTCTTTGGCCTTCTGGAAGTGGGCGTGCTCGTTCTCGTCGGCGGGAGTTTCCAAGTAATGATCCACCGCGTCGGGAGAGCTGGGCGACGCCGTGGGAACTGCCAGACACGGGACAGAAAAAACGCAAAAATATTCCGTTAAAAACCAGAATAAAAGCTACGCTACGTTGTCTAATTGCGTTGGCGAGAAATCGTTAGTGTTGTTAGTCAAACGGTAAGAAAGCAGAGCAGAAAAGCAAGAAAAAATCTGATTAAATTAATGTTAAGAAGTCACGGCAAGGTCTAAACTAGGTCTAACCAAGGTCTAAACAAGGTCTGAACAAGGTCTAAACTAGGTCTGAACAAGGTCTAAACAAGGTCTAAACTAGGTCTAAACCAAGGTCTAACAAGGTCTGAACAAGGTCTAAACTAGGTCTGAACAAGGTCTAAACAAGGTCTAAACTAGGTCTAAACAAGGTCTGAACAAGGTCTAAACCAGGTCTAAACCAGGTCTAAACCAAGGTCTAAACCAAGGTCTAAACCAGGTCTAAACCAAGGTCTAACCAAGGTCTAAACAAGGTCTGAACAAGGTCTAAACTAGGTCTGAACAAGGTCTAAACCAGGTCTAAACCAGGTCTAAACCAAGGTCTAAACAAGGTCTAAACAAGGTCTAAACCAAGGTCTAACCAAGGTCTAACCAAGGTCTAAACCAAGGTCTAAACCAGGTCTAAACCAAGGTCTAAACCAAGGTCTAAACCAGGTCTAAACTCTAAACCAAGGTCTAACCAAGGTCTAAACAAGGTCTGAACAAGGTCTAAACTAGGTCTGAACCAAGGTCTAAACAAGGTCTAAACTAGGTCTAAACAAGGTCTGAACAAGGTCTAAACCAGGTCTAAACCAGGTCTAAACCAAGGTCTAACCAAGGTCTAAACCAGGTCTAAACCAAGGTCTAACCAAGGTCTAAACAAGGTCTGAACAAGGTCTAAACTAGGTCTAAACGGTCTGGTCTAACAAGGTCTAAACTAAGGTCTAAACCAGGTCTAAACCAAGGTCTAACCAAGGTCTAAACAAGGTCTAAACCAGGTCTAAACCAAGGTCTAAACAAGGTCTGAACAAGGTCTAAACTAGGTCTGAACAAGGTCTAAACCAGGTCTAAACCAGGTCTAAACCAAGGTCTAACCAAGGTCTAAACAAGGTCTAACCAAGGTCTAAACCAAGGTCTAAACCAGGTCTAAACCAGGTCTAAACCAAGGTCTAACCAAGGTCTAAACCAGGTCTAAACCAAGGTCTAAACAAGGTCTGAACAAGGTCTAAACTAGGTCTAAACCAGGTCTAAACCAGGTCTAAGGTCTAACCAAGGTCTAAACCAGGTCTAAACCAAGGTCTAACCAAGGTCTAAACCAGGTCTAAACCAAGGTCTGAACAAGGTCTGAACAAGGTCTAAACTAGGTCTAAACCAAGGTCTAAACCAAGGTCTAACCAAGGTCTAAACCAAGGTCTAAACCAAGGTCTAACCAAGGTCTAAACCAGGTCTAAACCAAGGTCTGAACAAGGTCTGAACAAGGTCTAAACCAAGGTCTAAACCAAGGTCTAACCAAGGTCTGAACAAGGTCTAACAAGGTCTAAACTAGGTCTAAACCAAGGTCTAACCAAGGTCACGGCAAATCTAAAATTAACAATAATCTCAAAACAAACTCAAGAAAACTACAAAAATGTGTGTATTTACTTTAATAATAGATCTAGTTACTTTCTGATTCTGAGTTTAATCTTCAAATCCTCATAAAATATTGAATAGTCTCTAAAAGCTGACAGTGCAGGACATAATATACTGATTTTATTTCATCTTCTTCCACTTCCTGTTTTTGATTTGATCCTTTGGTACAAAGTTTGGCCCAGCGCCGCCTCACGCTGCGAATGAAACGGTTACGTAAGCCCGAAGAGCAGTTCTGTATTTAACTCACTTTTGGCCGTTTTTCATTCACAAAACCGAAGATGCTCGACTCGTTTGTGGTGTGAATGAAATAAAAATTTGGGAGCGTCAAAGAACTGCAATGTGGGTGGATTTCTTTATTCTTTTTTTAGCGCTATTTTTGTCTTTGGACCCAACACACGTCGCAGTTTTAGTTGGACGTTGATTTCTCTATCATTATCACATTTTATCTGTATTTACAATAGTCAGTGTTGGGGAGTTTACTTTTAAAATGTAATCCCCTACAGATTACAGATTACATACACCAAAATGTAGTTTGTAACGGAATCCATTAAATTACTTAAAGTGAGTAACTTAATCTGAATACTTTGGATTACTTGGTTTGCTGGAGAGGAGTAAAGACGAGGAAATCCTATCATAAGATGTTTTGTCTGATAAAAGAAAATAAAAAGATGTTAAATCCTGTTTTAGACCTGGTTTAGACCTGGTTTAGATCAAGTTTAGTCCCGGTTTAGTCCCGGTTTAGACCTGGTTTAGACCTAGTTTAGATCAAGTTTAGACCTGGTTTTGACCTGGTTTTAGACCTGTTTTAGACCTGGTTTAGATCAAGTTTAGTCCTGGTTTAGTCCTGGTTTAGACCTGGTTTAGACCTGGTTTAGACCTAGTTTAGATCAAGTTTAGTCCCGGTTTAGTCCCGGTTTAGACCTGGTTTAGACCTAGTTTAGACCTAGTTTAGATCAAGTTTAGTCCCGGTTTAGTCCCGGTTTAGACCTGGTTTAGACCTAGTTTAGATCAAGTTTAGACCTGGTTTAGTCCCGGTTTAGTCCTGGTTTAGACCTGGTTTAGACCTAGTTTAGATCAAGTTTAGACCTGGTTTAGACCTTGGTTTAGACCTAGTTTAGATCAAGTTTAGACCTGGTTTAGACCTAGTTTTAGACCTGTTTTAGACCTGGTTTAGATCAAGTTTAGACCTGGTTTTAGTCCTGGTTTAGATCTAGTTTAGATCAAATTTAGACCTGGTTTTAGTCCTGGTTTAGATCTAGTTTAGACCTGGTTTTAGACCTGTTTTAGACCTGGTTTAGATCTAGTTTAGACCTGGTTTTATAGTTTTCCGGCAATGAGTGGCCCAAAATGTGAAAACAGGAAAATACCCTCTGTATAATCCATTTATTTCAACAAAGTAACTGTAATCCAATTACCACTCACTGAAACAGTAACTGTAACTGAATACAGTTACTCATCATTTGTACTCTGATTACGTAACTCCAGTACATGTAATCTGTTACTCCCCAACACTGACAATAGTTTAAATATGGATAAAATCTGAACTGAAATTACTTTTACTACTTGAAATTGAAAAGAGAATTTGAAAGTAGTCGTCTTTTATCTGTATTTTAAAGCTGTAGATTCTGTACATAAAACATTTTTGTTCTAACTGCAGCCGGACGATCCAGTTGCACTTTGTTGTTGTGCTCTTGGGCAAGACCGTTCCTCCTCCACTGCTCCTCCATCTCTACTGACCACAAAACTGTTTTGCAGAGGTGGGGACTTGCAAGTCGTGACTTGGACTCGAGTCAGACTGAGTCACTGTTTTTAGGACTTTTTAGGAGACTTGACTTGATAAAATGGACAAAGACTTGGGACTCAACTTGGACTTGAAGCTCAGTGACTTGAGAAGACTTCCTATTTTGAACGTAATGATTCACAATAAGATCTTGACAAGACATTTAAGGAAACGTTTGCATTTCTACAACTTTTACTCAATACTATAAAAATAAAAAAATACTTCTATAATACTTACTTTTATAATAAATAACTATACCATGACTTTTTAATTAAAATTTAGTTTTAAATTAATCTAAAATTCTGCTAAAATCTAAAGCTGTATTTGGTACTTGAAGCTCAAAGCAGACAACTTGGACTTGAGTTGGACTTATCGGCCAGTGACTCGAGATTCGACTTAGGACTTGACTCAGACTTGAGACTTGCAAAATATCGACTTGGTCCCACCTCTGCTGTTCTGTCTTAAAGGTTGTATAGAGGATTTTTTTAAGGGAAGAGAAATACAGCGACAGTCCTCGTGCCTGCGTGACGCCACCTTCCTCCTCCACAGCCTCAGTAGAAACATCTCCTCCCGCCTCTTTACTCTAGAAATCGCGCTTGTTTCCAGCCAGTGCGCGTTCAGAATTACCGTTGAAGTGACCTGTCTACAAATAATTTATCGACCGACGCGTCAGTTTTTAGTCCCTTCGTCAGCTTCGGTCGCGCCATCGCTGGAAGGAATCTCCAAGAATCACCTCAGTTTGTCTTTCCTCCTTTCCCCCCCTTCTCTTCGTCTTTCAGCGACCTCAAAAACTTTCTTTTGCGGCGAACCGGTCGTGGATTCTCGTCGGCCGTCGCGACAAACTTTGTGCGGAATGTGAGGAAGCGACAGTTCGAAAAAGCCTCCAAGAACCGCCGCGTAAACCACGTAATCCCCGCGCGCCGACGAGTCAGTTACACTAGAAACGTAGGGAGTTTGATTGACAACCTAACAGCCAATAGAAAAAGAGGCAGCCTCGTTTTCTATTGGATGATGTTTATCTGGCCTCACTACGTTCACAGTTGATAGATTTTCATTCTTTTTTTTTTTTTTTGGTCATCATAATTACAAAGCTGCGTCTCTCTAATGGTATTTTAACCTTTCATTGACAATTTGAAACTGAAAAAAAAATCCTCCATACAACCTTTAATTTAAAGCTGCAGTAGTGGGATCTCTGTGGTGTGTTGGTGTTGGTTAAAGGGGCCTCACTTCCTTCCGTCTGCCCCGGGACAGTTGTGGCTTCAGAAGAACTTTACCCCCCGATGTTGAGTGAGTGAACACTGTACTGTCGTGTACTTAAACCCGCTGAGTGGATGTGGTGTGTTTCCCGTCTGTTTAATCCTTAATCTCCGCGCCCGGACGACCCCAGAAGCACAGCCAAGAAACGTGAAGGTTCATGAAGGTTAGAAACAGAGCGCAGGGATTAGTTTAGCCTGTGATGTTAACGCTGAGAGACGCTGCTGTTGTGTTCGGCCCAGGGTGACCAGATTTTCAAACCCTAAACTGGGACACACCGGGTTGGGATAAATAACACGGTGAAAACAGAGTGTGAGATTGTGCATTCTTGTGTCACTCATAATCTGAGGGACGTCTGCTGCTGCAATTTTTATTTATTTTTTTATTTATTCATGCAGGGTTCCCACGGTCATGGAAATTCTGGAAAAGTCATGGAATCTGAAAATATCATTATTTTCAGGCCTGGAATAGTCATGGCATTGCCTAAATTCAATGAAACGTTTGGAAAAGTCATGTAATTTTAGTATCTCTTTCACGCCACTACAGTGTTCTGTGAAGTCAGACATGTCAAACTCAGGCCCGGGGACCAAATTTGGCCCACGATATGATTAAATTTGGCCCGTGAATACGAAATACATGTTTAAATAAGAACCTGTAACTCCAGATTGTTGTTACATTGGTTGTTTATTGTTTTTTGTTTTTGATTTTATACTGTTTTTTTGTGTTTTGAAATGTTACTTAAAACCAATAAAAACAACGT